GGTTTGAAGTAGTTGAATATGAGGATTACTATGACTATAGCTCTTGGTAAATTTACCAAAGATCAAAATGATTTATTTGATATTATGGATGACTGGTTACGGAGGGGCCGTTTTGTTTTTGTGGGATTGGTCCGGTCTATTGCTCTTTCCTTGCGCCTATTTTGCCGTGGGGGGTTGGTTCACAGGTACCACCTTTGTAACTTCATGGTATACTAATGGATTGGCAAGTTCCTATTTGGAAGGTTGTAACTTCTTAACTGCAGCAGTCTCTACTCCTGCTAATAGTTTAGCACACTCTTTGTTGTTACTGTGGGGTCCTGAAGCACAGGGAGATTTGACCCGTTGGTGTCAATTAGGTGGTCTGTAGACTTTTGTTGCTCTTCACGGTGCTTTCGGATTAATAGGTTTTATGTTACGTCAATTTGAACTTGCTCGATCTGTTCAATTGCGGCCTTATAATGCAATCACATTCTCCGGTCCAATTGCTGTTTTTGTTTCTGTATTCCTGATTTATCCACTGGGCCAGTCTGGTTGGTTCTTTGCGCCTAGTTTTGGTGTAGCAACTATATTTCGATTCATTCTCTTTTTCCAAGGGTTTCATAATTGGACATTAAACCCATTTCATATGATGGGAGTTGCTGGTGTATTAGGCGCTGCCCTACTATGCACTATTCATGGCGTTACCGTAGAAAATACCTTATTTGAAGATGGTGATGGCGCAAATACATTACGTGCTTTTAACCCAACCCAAGCAGAAGAAACTTATTCAATGGTTATTGTTAACCGCTTTTGGTCCCAAATCTTTGGGGTTGCTTTTTCCAATAAACGTTGGTTACATTTCTTTATGTTATTTGTACCAGTAACTGGTTTATGGATGAGTGCTCTTGGAGTAGTCGGTCTGGCCCTGAACCTACGTGCCTATGACTTTGTTTCTCAAAAAATCCGCGCAACGGAAGATCCTGAATTTGAGACTTTCTACACCAAAATTATTCTCTTAAACGAAGGTATTTGTGCGTGGATGGCGGCTCAAGATCAGCCTCATGAAAACCTTATATTCCCTGAGGAGGTTCTACCACATGGAAACGCTCTTTAATGGAACTTTACCTTTAACTGGTCGTGACCAAGAAACGACTGGTTTTGCTTGGTGGGCTGGGAATGCCCGACTTATCAATTTATCTAGTAAACTAATGGGGGCCCATGTAGCCCATGCCGGATTAATAGTATTCTGGGCCGGAGCAATGAACCTATTTGAAGTTGCTCATTTCGTACCCGAGAAGCCCATGTATGAACAAGGCTTAATTTTACTTCCCCATCTAGCTACTCTAGGTTGGGGGTAGGTCCTGGAGGGGAAGTTATCGACACCTTTCCATACTTTGTGTCTGGAGTACTTCACTTAATTTCCTCTGCAGTATTGGGCTTTGGCGGTATTTATCATGCACTTCTGGGACCTGAGACTCTTGAAGAATCTTTTCCATTCTTTGGTTATGTATGGAAAGATAGAAATAAAATGACTACTATTTTAGGTATTCACTTAATTTTGTTAGGTATAGGGGCTTTTCTTCTAATATTGAAGGCTTTTTATTTTGGGGGTATATATGATACCTGGGCTCCAGGAGGGGGAGATGTAAGAAAAATTACCAACTTAACCCTTAGTCCAAGCATTATATTTGGTTATTTACTAAAATCGCCTTTTGGGGGAGAAGGTTGGATTGTTAGTGTGGACGATTTGGAAGATATAATTGGGGGACATGTATGGTTGGGTTCCATTTGTATACTTGGTGGAATCTGGCATATCTTAACCAAACCCTTTGCATGGGCTCGGCGTGCACTAGTATGGTCTGGGGAAGCTTACTTATCTTATAGTTTAGGTGCTTTAGCCGTTTTTGGTTTTATAGCTTGTTGCTTTGTCTGGTTTAATAATACTGCTTATCCTAGTGAGTTTTATGGTCCCACTGGACCGGAAGCTTCTCAAGCTCAAGCATTTACTTTTCTAGTTAGAGACCAACGTCTTGGAGCTAATGTAGGCTCCGCTCAAGGGCTTACCGGTTTAAGGCGGAACTCATACCGTTGGTGCCTCCATGGGGGAGAACGTGGACAACGATTTTTCTTCAATGCTATAATCCTCTTATTTTATTGATAGATTAACGCGTTGGTTGAGGGTCGCGACTAAGGCTTCCATGGCCGAGTCGGCGTTGGCTGACACCGGAATTGGTTGCAATTTATCCGGCTTCTTCTCCAGAGCTTTTTGGACTTTGTGAGTCTCGACGTACTGGACGTCATCATCATCCGCGTCGTCGGAGAAAGGGGAAGCGGTTTGCCCGTCTCTCCTCATTGGGATGTCTTCCTCTAAAACGACATCTCGTTGTTGTTGTCGACGTCATGGACGGGAGAAATGATGGTTTCGTGATCCATGTTGTCGTGTTGATCGACCATGATTGGTTTTCGGAAGTTTTATTTTGGCCTCTTGGTTTTAAGGAAAGAAAAGACGGGGCAACAAGTTTCCCACAGACGGCGTCACTGATCTAACCTGTTGATCAAAATGTGGTCGGTAACACGTCTGCAGCAGCAACGGTCAACAAGAGATGAGGAGGGGTGTACCTGCAAACACTCCGATGCTTAAGTTAGTCGGGTGAAGAGGTAGCAAAAAAAGTAGAGAATAAAATACTTGACCCTACTGCAGAAGAGAATTTTTATATAGAACCCCCAAATCTGAGCCATTGGTCTCCGTTATGCACTAAATGTTCAGACCCACAACGAATGATTGCCAGGATTCCAACGTGGAGGTAGGGATGGGCAGCTTGTGCTCATCGTCTTGGGTCAACTGCTCTGCATTCTCCAGATAGTGGGTGGACTTGCCCGTTACGAAAAGCTGAATGATTCCACGAGGCGTGCAGGCTAAGTTGATGACATGTCCTCGGGTGAGAAGCACGTGAGAAAATGTCTCTTACGGGCTCCAAAAGGTTGAATCAATATTCTAAACTATCTTTTACATAAGACTGAATTGAGTGTGCTCGACGCTGGATCAGCCACAAGTCCAATCTAAAATAAAACTCATCATTGAAGATTGAAAAAAAAAATAAGATGATTTTTTATCGCAATCATTCATGAATGCTTTTCAAATATATTTAAAATAAAAATTTAAGAAACAATTATAATTACACTTTCGATATATGTGAATTATTTCTATTTTAAAATGGCATTCCTTCCTTTTAAAATGAGCATCATTTTATCGATCATTTTGGAATTGCTTAATATTTTTACTTTTTAAAGTAAAGTAAAGTTTCTTTTCCTACTTAGATGTTTAATTAATATTATATGTATTTCTAAAATATATTTTTTAATATAGTTGTTTAATGACTAAAAGGTAGATAACTCACCTATAACTTTTAAAGTTGGTTTCATAAAAATGTGACATGTTTTGAGACAACAACAATAATTGGTGTTTGGATCAAATTGCATCATAATCAGGACAAGCTCAAAAAAATTTACAATTAAATTTTAATTAAATAAGATTTTAAAAAATATTATCATTGATTAATAGGATTTCAATTTATTTTTTATAATTAAATTGCAATTAATCTACCCAAAACTTTTAAAAATTTGAAAATCATATTTTTCTATTTAAAATTATCATTATATCTAATTTGTTGATCTCAAAAACTTTTAAAATAATTTTTCTTATAAATTTAAGTTTTTTTCTACCTATAATTGTTTAGTTCATCTTCATTTAGTCCGCACCACTTACGACAAAATCTAGAATTTTTTTTAAAAATAATATTCAAACCATTTAATTTTATTTAGGTGTTACCACACCACTTTTTATATATTATTATTTATAATTTTTGTCTTTTCTAATTTTAACGTGCATTTTATTTTTAATACATTTTATTTTTATGTTGATTATTTATCGTTTGTATTATCTCATAATAATATTTTCTCGTCAACATTCTAATTTATTTTTTTATAATTTGTATTACGGACTCAAAATATTTAAATTATATGACTTATGTTATGATCCTTAACTTTTAACATTATATTCTAAATAACATTTTGATAATTTTACATTCATCTTGCTTTTATCATGTGTTTCTAAGATTTATTTTCTAACATTTAATTTATTTATTTTTTAACTCTCCAAATACTATTATATCATTTGAAAAGAAAAACATACATTCTATGTGTTAAAATTTATTGCACTTCTATTGTAATAAAAAAAAAAATCATCTCTCCACCTTTCCACCCTATGTGAGTATATTATTCGATACCGTCGTATCGTATATATAAATATGTGAAATGTCGCATTCGTTTTATCATTCAGATGTCCTTAAGATACCTTAACAAAAATAACATAGAGTATTCCTTAATAAGATCATAAATATGAAGAAATATTGATTTTAATTAATAAGAATGTAATTATAATTATAATTTTCTTTTTAAAATGAGGACAATGCATTTAAAAAGTGGGAAACTTTTAACTTATTATACATTTCATTTAACTTAAAAGTTTTGTTCACAAATTCTTTACTTGTTATTCTATTATCACATCATCCCTATCGTGCCCACTCTCTCACTTCATCATTATAACTTTCTACCCAATTTACCCCCACCGTATCCCCAAACTACACAAACAACCAAGGACATCATCGTCATTTCACAAAAACACTTTGTCAAGCTTCTTGTTCAGATTGTCGTGTTCCTTCCAAAGTGGTAATAATCTTTCACAATAAAAAGAAAAACAAAACACCCTTCTCTGTTTTTCTCTGTTTCGTTTCCGATTTCACACAGACACACGCACGCATACACAAACAAAACAAACCCAAAAGTAAAAACCTCAAATTTATAATCTTTTTCGAAACCCCGTTATTTTGAATCCAAGAAAATTCGATTTTGTTTTTGTTTTTTCTTCTGGGGTTGTTGTTACTCGTTCTTCTTTTTTCTTGATTTCTTCTGTGGCGCGTAACCGTTCTCCGCTCGATCTCCGACACCGCTGGGTATTTTTTATGGCAGCGGGGACAATGGCGACGGCGGCCGGAGCTGCGGTGATGCTGTACTACGTGAGTCGGAGGTTGACGAAGAAGGAGGAAGAGGAAGAAGATGATCACGACGGGGATGTGTCGAAATCAAGTAGATCGATTCGACGGAGAAGGATTTCGCGGAGACCAGCTCAGGCGCCGGCGACTCTGCTTGAATCGATTGTGACTTTGTCTGAGACTTTACGGTTTACGTATGCAGAGACACTTGGAAAATGGCCGATTGGTGATTTAGCTTTTGGGATCAATTACTTCATGCGGAAACAGGTTCAATTTCTGAAATTTGGGGTTGTAGAAAGTTGATTTTTTTTTTTGAGCAAGTGATTATGATTTTTTTTTTTGAGTTGCAGGGTAATTTGGCAGTTGCTAGTGTTTATGCTGGAAGTGACTGTGTGCAGCTGAAAGGAGATGAGATTATTGTGGAATTGTATGAGTTATTGAGGCTATTGACATTGGGTATGCTTTTTTCGAAGAAGCCATTTCCTGTGTTTTTAGATTCAGCTGGATTTACTGTGGAAGATGTTCTCATGCAGAAGCCTAAAGCTGGGGTATGGTTTTATTTGTAGCTTTGAAATCTATGTCTCTATGCTTGTTTTGGTTTTATGCATTTGTTTTGTATATTTTATGTTTTGGGCTTTGTATCAGCCACACCTCTGAAAAAGTGAAAGTGAAGGTGTGTCACCGACATTGACACTTGTGGTTATGTTTAACTTATTCACTTTTTTGAATTATTACTGGTGTCGACATGTCTATGTCGGTGTTGTGTTTCTAGTGTTCGTGCTTAATAGGTTTTGGGAGGAAGAGAGGGTTGGAGAGAGGAGTAAGACAAATCATAGGAACACATAGACTCGGGCTTAGCCACTCTTATAGGTTTAGATGTTTTGGTCTCATTTTCACCGGTGTTTATAGAAGCAAATACTAATGAAAATGACATTTGCTTCATAGTTTTGAGTTTATACCACTGTTTTTTTTCCTTTTATGGGAATAGTATTTTTAAATGTTTTAACATTATGACTTTTGGTGTTTGACAGTAGATGTTGGGTATGTACTTGTGCTAGCAAAAGGAGTGAATGTCCTAATTTGTCCAATAGTTGTGTCGTCCCTTAAATTAACAAAAACATCTTTGAAATGGAAATTATGGTTATTTAGTCCAGACAGTAGTTTAAATTACTCTCTTAAGCTAAATATTTAAAAATGAAATTGTTCACTATGCTGTTTGTAATTCGGCAAATTTTGAATGGTGGCGGAATGTATCCTAAGCTGTTCAAGCAATCTGTTAGTGTAATAAAATAAAATCAAGTCATGAAATACTTTTATATTGTGATACACTGAGATGTAAGTTCCTGCAATTTGATTCTATGGTATGGCATCTTTCCGCAGCTTCTGAAACCTGCTTTCACAATTATACGCGATACACAGTCAAAATGTTTACTTCTATTGATTCGGGGCACTCATAGCATAAAAGATACACTGACAGCTGCAACTGGTGCTGTCGTACCCTTCCATCATTCGGTTTTAAATGATGGTGGGATAAGCAACTTGGTTTTAGGATATGCACACTGTGGCATGGTTGCTGCTGCTCGATGGATTGCAAAGCTCTGTACTCCAACCTTACTTAAGGCTCTCGGTGAATGTCCAGACTTCAATGTCAAGGTATTGCTCATATATTCTTTTTTAAATAAAAAATGATGTTATTTCCTATGTTTTTACATGTCACTTTAGATTCTATTTTCTTTCATGATTTCTTTTTTGATTCCGAAAATGCATTTTGTCTTTTTTATCCGACATAAACATGTCGGTATAAGTATGTTTACTAAATACTTGTAATTTTCTATCTTTTCATAGATCGTTGGGCACTCACTTGGCGGTGGTACTGCTGCGCTGTTAACATATATTCTTAGAGAGCAGAAAGAGTTCTCGTCAAGTACTTGTGTCACATTTGCCCCAGGTATGTCGTCCACAATTCTGCGCCATGTTTGTGTTCATGCAGTGTGTTTGTCCGCCTCTCTGATTCTTAAAAGGCACGATTAAATTGCATAGAGATATGAGAAAGAAACACTTTTGTAACGTGTTTCCAAACATATGCTCTAATTGATAACTTTAAGAATTTAGTTTTCTCTAATGTTATTTCTTGCCTTGTCATTGTACCTTAGCTAAATCGTTGTATGATAATTGTCACATTTGCAGCTGCGTGTATGACATGGGAGTTAGCAGAATCAGGAAAGCACTTTATTACTACCATCATAAATGGTTCTGACTTAGTGCCCACATTTTCAACTTCCTCTATTGATGATCTCCGATCTGAGGTACTGCTGCAATGCTTCCTTGAGATAGTTTTAGTGAACATTAATGGTTAATGGTCAAATCCCGAGCGACTATTGTGGTTGTTCAAGTTATAGGTTGAGGACTAATGTGAATAGAAAATAGTTGAGGTCTTTCATTTGTTTTTCCCCTAATGTTGGGACTAGTGTGAAAAAATTGTCAAGGTCGCTGATTTTCAATGAAAATGAGGTTTACTCCAACATTGATTTGGATGTTCATTACCAATTTTGGGGAGTGTTAATTGCCATTACTGTTTCGGATTTCACTCCTATTCAACTAATTCTGTCAAAAATATCCTCCTTTGATAATCAAACTAGTAATAGTTTAGAAAAATCATATTCGGATTTAATTCTATAGGAATGTCAATAAAAACATGGTTGGAATAGACACATTCCTTAGTTTTATGATATAATTTGTCTCTTACATAAATTGGGTTTGACCAGGTCACCGCATCCTCTTGGTTGAATGATTTACGGGATCAGGTTGAACATACAAAGGTCCTGAATGTTGTCTACCGCTCTGCAACTGCACTTGGATCTCGCCTACCGACTATATCTAGTGCAAAAGCTAGAGTAGCTGGTGCAGGTGCTATTCTGTGGCCAGTAACCAGTGGCACTCAGGTAGCTTCATCTCCTTGCTTCCTGATCTTTAATTGACATTCATGGCATGCAGTGCGTAGTGGTCTTCAGGATACAATATGAAGAGATGACTGAACAATTGATCATGACACTCACATATTTGCATTTTGCTATGTGATTTGTAGTTAAAAACTTAAAATATCTTGCAATTCCTTGATATATAATGTGCTTTTGATCTTATGAAGGCCCTGTTTTATACTAGCAGGTTATGATGAAACGTGCACAAAGTGTTGCAGAAGCTGTTGTCAGAACTCGCTCGTCGCTGTCATCATGGTCTTGCATGACTGCCCGCCGACGAAATGTCGCTCCATTGCCGAACTCTGATACAGAAGACTTAACAACTGAAGTTTCTCTATTATCTGAGAGAATATCTGAGTCTCTTTTGACTGAAAAGGCAGCAACAGAGTCTCTGCTTACTGAAGAAAACAATTCCTCAGTCGCAGGATCAGGCCACGATGACACAGATGAAGAAGAACATCTCATTCCTGCTAACCAAGACATCACCACATCCACTGTAGATGACATAACAGAAGGCCAGTTATGGTATGAACTAGAGAAGGAGCTTCAAAAACAGGACGACACCATTGACATTCATGCTCAGGAAGAAGAGGCTGCAGCCGCAAAAGAAATCACTGAAGAAGAAAATCAACTTGTCGACGCCGCAGAATGCAGTAATTCAATCACAACATCCGATAACGTAGATAACCATCGGTTCTATCCACCAGGCAGAATCATGCATATTGTATCTATGCCTTCATCTGATAGCTCAGATTCAAATTCCGATGATCATCCTATAGAAGAACATGTCCGCTTATATGAAACACCGAGAGAGCTATACAGCAAGCTCAGACTGTCGAAAACGATGATAAATGACCATTACATGCCAATGTATAAGAAGATGATGGAATTACTAATCCGAGAATTAGAGAAAGATAGCAGTTCTAATAGTTTAATGTGACACAAACAAATGCATTTGGAAAGTTATTAGTGAATACAGATTTCAGTTATTTTATAATCTCAATGCTTCCCTCTTCATCAATCTTGATAGGGTATTTCTTTCTGTATATACACACAACAAATTATTGAAGCATTGATTGATTATGTGTACCATAATAGGTAAAATCTGAGAATGATATTTCTTTCTTACAAAAAGAAAGTTGTACACACCCTGGTGCTGGTGAATTGTTTCATGCTTATTCTTATTACTGAATATATATTGTTTTGCAAATGACATGAAAACATCAGCAAAAAACTGTTGAAATAATCATCCACCATAGCGGATCTTGAGTGATTCAGGTGGTTCCTCTTCCATTATGCCAGAACCAGCAGTCGCCAAGTACTCGCGAATGGTTGTTTTGCGGTTAGCAAGGTAGGTATGATCCAGAAAATTGTTGTAGGCTGTGTCACCAAGATTCTTTGCTGCAAGTACACTGCAAAAGAAATGGTTTACTAGGTCATTGTACTATTTTGGTCTCTTAAACACACGTTTTCATCCGAAAAGTGCTTACCAGTGTCGAAGATAGGCGCGGCAGGGGAAAACATCATCTCTCCAAATTTTATCAATATTCCACCTTCCATATTGCTGAAACAAAATTTCCTTGTTTCCTGAACAGATTCAAAATACAAGCATGTTTCTGTCATCTAGTTGACCATTATTACTCTCTTATCCTTACTCATCAATGAAGAACAAAGAATCAATTACCTTTGCATCTAATGTTGAAAAATTCCTCATCACTATAACGAGCACAAAGAACCTGACAAGAGAAAAATGATACATTTTTACTAGTTAAACAAACAATGTTCTTCATGATGCAGTAACCATATAGAATAATTAATCACCACATACCGCTGAAAAGTCATAAGATTTTCCATCCAGAGTTTCAGGAAGAACCTAAGACAAACAAAGAATTAAACACCATAAACCACACATAAAAAACATTATCAAACATAAGACACATTATAAGACAGTATTTTTTAGAAGTGTCGGGATCAGACACAAAACATATTAATTTTTAGAAGTGTAGATGCTACCAAGAATAAAATTAAGAACATGACACAAAAGTCAAAATCTATTGGCTTACAGCAAGAAACCGAAATTCAACCTCCCTCTTGATGAAATCTGGAATCTGATATAATCAAAATCAATAAAACATAGCTTAATTTCTAAGCATACTAAAAATCATGAAGAGAATCTAAAATTGAAAAACTCAGTGGTACCTCAGATTTTGTTATTTCAAAAACTGTGACTACAAGAGTTTCTCCTTCACATGGCTCCACACTCAAACTTGAAATCTCCTAATAACAATTAAATCACCAAAAAATAATCCAAATTAAATCATGAAATCAATGATTGTTCCATTTTTTCTCTCTTCAATATTCGTTCTAGAAAGTGAAAATGAGAATGAATTTTTAACGAACCATAGTTTCTGGCTTGGCAATGCCACGTTCGAAGAAAACAGGAGCAACATGAGCGAAAACGCGACGGAAGTGATTCAACTTAGCGATTCTGAAATTGAGCAAATTGGGGAAAGTGCTTCGTGCGCTTCGCTCTGCGATTTGGAAAACGTTAAACGATGAAAAAGAAGGAACCGGAGAGGAAAATGAAGGCGGTTACCGTACCGGAGAGGAGAGAGCCGAAGCCGCAAATGGAGATGTGATCGTCAGGAGAGAGGAGGGATTCGAAGTGAGACTCGTCGCTGAGTTCGGTGAAGGTGGTCGGAGAAGAAGACATGGCGGAAAGAGAGAGTCGTTGGCGGGGTTTGGGAAAAGAGATAAGAGGAGATGAAGAGAAGGAAAGGGTGGCGCGTTGTGGGAACGCGCGCGGGGCGAGTGGGAGAAAGGGTTGCAGTTGTATGTTTAAGGAAGTGAAGGCGTTTATGTTCATAGCAGCTGCTGCTCGAAGTGAAGTGAATGACAATTTTCATGTAACGGTATTTAACGTATAAGAATATGATATTTACGTAACAAATTTATTTTAATGATAAAAATTATGTATCTGTTTTTTTTTTCTTTTCCATAATTTATTTTAATTATTAAGATTAATTTTCATTTTCTCACATATAAATAACATTTTCATAAATATGTCATATATATATATATATATATATATATATATATATATATATATATATATATATATATATATATATATATATATATATATATATATATATATATATATATATATATATATATATATATATATATATATATATATATATATATATATATATATATATATATATATATATATATATATATATATATATACTCCATCCATTCTTTTTTAGAAAAAAATTTGTTCTTTTTCAAGTATTATTTCAAAATAATATTGATAGTTGTTTTTGTCAAAATTATCCCTATTAATTTATTAAGAGAGAAAAAAAGTCAACAAAATTTATAAAAAAGTGAAAGATAAAATAGGAAAAAAAGATAATCATCGTTTTAAAAAATAACAATTATTATATTTTTTGATATTTATAAAAAGTCAAAAAATGACACTTAAAAAAGAACAGAATATATATATATATATATATATATATATATATATATATATATATATTAAAAGTTTTAGTTTGATTTGACAGAAAACATGTTGTCATAAAATTAGTTTATACTAGCTCAGTCTCTAAATATAAAACTCTTTTAAAAAAAATACGGGAATTAAGAAAATTGGTTAAAGTATTAAATTTATTGACTATTTTGTATAATTTTATAAGTTTATATTTAAAAAGAGAAATAGTTAATATATATGTAATTGTATTTATTATGTAGTGCAGAGTTTTATAATTAGAAATGGAGAGAATACTTTCCATGTATTTTATTTTTTTCGTGAAACATTGTTTAGTGTATGTTAATTTGGAGTTAAAGTTTATTTTAAAAATGTTAAATTGAATTTGACACGTTATATAATTAATTGTCTTAAAATTGATTTTAACTAAACTATTTTTTGTAATTTTTTATTCTAAATTTTATCCATTTATAATTTTTTTTCTTTTTGAATTTATAACATGGATATAAGGGTTCTAATGGTGATAAAACGGATTCAATTTATTGTGCATGTTCGTTTTGTTAAGAGTTTGGTAATTCATGTGTTGTAACTGATTATCATGGGGTTGTAACAGGTTTACATGCATGTTAAAACATCAAATAAGCTGAAGAAAAATTGATTCCAACGTTGTTGTAACCGGTTACGTACTCGCAGTAGCCGGTTATCACTGTTATGATATTTCTGGTTTTTAGCAGCGGTAACCGGTTACAGATTTTATGTCATTGGTTAAAGGTTCGACAATTTAGTTTTATCAATTATTTGATTTTGTAACTTGTGTCCTAATCCACTTGTATCTCATTTAAATACTTTGGAGGTATTGTTATGATTGTCAATGAAAAATATTATCACCCTCAATTCTCTCTCACTCTCCCTGACCCTCTCCACATCCAATTTCTCCATTATTCACCAATCTTGTGGTTTCAAGTTCTAACATTTGACATCAAGATCCTAGTTCTGATCTATAAACACCTAATATGCAACATGAATTATGTCTCCAATGAATGATGCAAACCTACCCATCCTTGATACAAAGAATGGCGGCAAATGGTGCAAACAAATGAAAGTGTTGTTTGACAATCAAGATGTTCTTGAAGTGATTAAGAACGGGTTAAATCCTCTTGTCGATGGTGTAACAGATGCACAACGAGCAACACATAAGAAAGATAAGAAGAAAGATTTCAAGACATTATTTTTACTCCATTAATGTGCAGATGGTGACAACTTTGAGAAAGTTGGTGATTGTGAATCGTCAAAGTAAGCATGGGAAATCATATAGAAGACATACACATGGGATGATAAGGTGAAGGTGATGAGGTTGCAAACTCACAAACGTCAACTTGAATTGATTCAAATGAAAGAGAAGGAGGCCATCAACGATTTCACAATGAGAATCACTCGATTAGTGAATCAAGTGAAGGCATGTGGAGAAATAGACACAGAGCAGTATGTTGTCGTGAAAATCTTGTGTTCTTTAACGCCAAGATTTGACAACATAGTTGTAGCGATTGAGGGATCGAAAGATATTGTGACAATGAGCTAAGAGGAGTTGTAAAGCTCTCTTGAGGCTCATGAGTAAAGGATGGAGGAGAAAAATAATGATAAGGCAAAGGCAGAGATCGCTTTGTAAGCTCGTTTCAATGAGAAGGATAAGAGATCGAAAGGAAAGTGGACCATGAAGAGTAAAGGGAATTTTTAGAATTTTGGTGTAAGAGAGTCCCAAAATTTCAAGAATTCGACATGTCAAAGGGGTGAGAGAAGCTGCAACAAAAATGGTGGTCAAGGCAAGGTGAAAGGAAGAGGATTGACAAAAGTAATATGCAGTGACAACTCTTCCAAACATGTTCAGAATTTTGAAAGAGTCGTATGACAACTCTTTGACACGACGTCGAAGTTGACACTTAGTAAGTGATAAAGACTTAAGATATTTTCAAAGTCGAAAGACTATGTGATGTGGAGATGTCTCAGTTCTCGACAAGGGCAATTAAAGCGTTTAGAATGGTTATCAACGTAGTTATCACCACTTTGTTTGGTTTTCAGCAGTTTCTCTTTGAAGACTCATAGAAGCAAGTTAGAGCAAAACATCTCCACGTGGGACACACGTGGAACGTGCAATCAACTATTGTTGTTGACGATCGTTTTAGGATTAGTATATAAAGTAGGCTCAGGCCTTGAATTAGATGTCGCAAATTTCTCATTCATTCTCTATAGAACTTGAGTACCTAAGTCATTGAACGAAATAGTTTGTGAGAAATGTGAATCGACGTCCACTCTTTAAATTTAATGCATATATTTTGCATTTCAAGCATTTATTATTAATGTCATTTACTTCATTTACTTTGTTTATTACTTTGAATCTTTATCCAAAGATTATCGTTTACATCGAGATGATTTATTATTCAAGTGTTTTA